AATACAGTTCCTCATATTATGGTGACCCCAACCATAAAATTATTTTTGTTGCTATTCATAACTGTAACTTTGCTACTGTTAATGAATCCTAATGTAAATATCTGTGTTTTCCAATATCTGTGCTGTCCCATCTCCACTGTCCCATCACAACTGTCCCATCACAACTGTCCCAACTTGGCTATCCCATCAGGTCTGTCCCATCATGACTGACCCCAGCAACCTGCCCACATGGGGGGCCTGCTCTGTCCCCCTCCAAAGCATTTCCAACTGAGCACTATATCTTGTTTCCATGGTCCCTCCCTCTTGGTGACGTCAGCACTTCCGGTTTGGATGCTTAACCAAAATTCTTTCAAAAACAGCAATACATTGGCCAGAAAAACGTTGTAATCGGTATCCAATTAGCTTCTCTGGTCTTTGAACATGATTTCCCTGTTTTTAAACATTGTGTTAACAATATTAAGGCTCTTTGTTGATGTATTCCTTGTGTTTCAAGCATGTTGTTAGACATTATCCTAAGTTATCATTGATATTTCCAAAGTTTGATTCATCTTTTACAGTGGTTCAAGCTCATTCATTGTGAACTCCAAGTGTTTACTTATGAAAAGATTATCACACTCACTTCTCAGCTCTTTGAACTTGAGTACCCAGGGAAAAATTTTGTTCTTTAGACATCAAACCCTTTTGAACATGTATTTTAGAGTATAAGCACATTTCTAAGTATTTTCCTAGCCTGTCCTTGTCTGTCTCAGTATTACACACAATTTTGTCCATTGAATGAAGCTCTTTCATTTTGAATCCCAACTGTTAATTCACTATAACCCTTACCTGTACCCTAACCCTAAACCTAAACCTACTCTAAACCATAATCCTAACCTTAAGTCTGATCTCTAGCCCTAACCCAAATGCTAACCCTAATCCTAAACCTACTCCTAACCCTAGCCCTAACCCTAACCCTAATCCTAGTGCTATCCTTGATGACTTCAGCACTCCCAGCATGGCCCCTGGCCCAAACCATTTTCACCTGAGCACATGAGCATGTCCACATGGCCTCTCCCTCTTGATGATGTCAGCACTTCCGGTTTGGATGCTTAACCACAATTCTTCCAAAAACGGCAATACATTGGCCAGAAATACCTATGTAATGTGTATGCAACTAGCCTTTCTGGACATTAAACCTGATTTCCTGTATTTAAACATTGTGTAAGCAATATTAAGGCTCTTCGTTGATGTATTTCTTGTGTTTCAAGCATGTTCTTAGACATTAACCTAGATGATCATTGTTAATTTCCAGATTTTGATTCATCTTTTACAGTGGTTCAAGCTCATTCATTGTAAACCCCAAGTGTTTACTCATTCTGAGGGATATAATAAATGAAAACATTATCACACTCACTTTTCAATCTTTGAGGATTGAGACAAATATTCAGGGACAAATTTTGTCCTTTAGACATTAAACCCATTTGAACATGTGTCCTAGAGCAAAAGCACATTTATACATATAGTACCAGTCTGTCCTTGTCTGCCTCAGTGTTACACACAATTTTGTCCATTGATTGAAGCTCATTCATTTTTGAATCCAAATATTAATTCATAATAACCCTTACCTGTACCCTAACCCTAACCCTAAACCTATTCTATACCCTAACCCTAACCTAAGCCTGCTCTCTAGCACTAACCCAAATTCTAACCCTAATCCTAGACCTAATACTAACCCTAGCCCTAAACCTAACCCTATTCCTAGTCCTATCCTTGATGACATCAGCACTCCCAGCCAGTCCCCTGGCCCAAACCATTACCACCTGAGCACTTGAGCCAGTCCACCTGGCCCCTCCCACTTGATGACCTCACCACTCCTGGTTTCAGTGCCTCACCAACATTCTTTCAAAAAACGCCAACTCACTGGCACTGGAATATAAGTGTAACCAATATCTACCTAGGTCCTCTGATTTTTTAATGTGATTTCCCTGTCATTAAACAATGTGTATTGCTAGTGTTTTTCTTTCAGCATGTTTTTGGACATTAACGGAGCTTCTTTTTGTGAGTTGCTGGAGTTTATTCCCCTTCTCCCAGTGTCTCAAGCTCCCTCATTGTGAACTGCAGGTGTTAAACACCGTTTTCACATAAGTACCAGCACTTTAAATAAAACTAGTACCCTTTGAAAGAGGATCCTGCCTTTCCCAGCACTTCGAAGGTAAATTCTCAGAACATCAGCCTTCAGTGTAGATGATTTCCCAGTGTGGTAGAACACCCTTGCACATACATTCTCCTGGTCTGTAATTCTAAGGTCTTTGCCACAGAATTCTAGAAAGCCTCTTATTGAGAATTCTGTAAGTCCTCTCTTTCTCAGATTTCCAGAAATACCCTATTCCACAGAATTCTAGCTGTCCTCCCTTCCTCCAAATTCTAGAAATCCCCTATTCATCAAAATCTAGAAGTCCTCCCTTCATCTCAATTCAAAAAGTCCCCTATTCTACAGAATTCCAGATATCCTCTCTTCCTCGGAATTCCAGAAATCTATTCCACAGGAGTCTAGAAATACTCTATTCCACAGATTTATGTAAGTCCTCTCTTCCTCATTTCTAGAAATACCCAATTTGACAGAGTTGTAGAAATCCTCCCTTCTTTCAATTCTAGAAATCATCTCTTCTACAGAATTCTAGAAATCCCCTATTCCACAGAATTTTAGAAGTCCACTCTTCCACAGAATTCTGGATGTTCCATATTCCACAGTATACCTGAAGTCCTCTCTTCCACAGAAAAATCCTCTATTCTGCTGAATTCTATATGGCCTCTATTCCACCAAATTCTAGAAATCCTCTTTGACAGAATTCTAGAAGTCCTCTCTTCGTATTTCTAGAAATTCCCTATTCCACAGAATTGTAGAAGTCCTCCTTTTCTCTGAATTCTACAAATCCCCTATTCCACAGAATTCTAGAAGTCCACTCCACCACAGAATTCTGGATGTTCCGTATTCCACAGGATTCCTGAAGTCCTCTCTTCCACAGAATTCTAAACATCCTCTATTCTGCTGAATTCTATATGGCCTCTCTTCAACAAAAATCTAGAAATCTCTATTCCACAGACTCCGCACCCCATATCTGGTGTTCCTGCAACACAAGGGGAGGGACACGGAAGACAAGCACACACAACTAAGCTGGCCTAGGAGGTCTTGAGAGGCACAAGCTGCAGTTGAAGGCTCTGGGCCAGGGGCGCCAGAGGCCACCAGCGGCTGGAGGAGGCAGGACAGCTGCTTCGTCAGAGCCCTCAGAAGGAAAGGGGTCCCGCTGGCACTTTGATTTTTGACTTCTGCCATTTGGACTCTAGGGGAATGCCTTTCTCTTCTCCTAAGCCACCTCGCTGGTGGTGGCGGGGCATGGCGAAACGGGATGCTGTCCTTAAGACGGGTTGCACCACGTGTGTCTGTCAAAAACGATTGAAACGTTTTCCTGTAGCTGTGATCAGAATCTCGCGTGAGCTCCAGATATCATACAAGGGCCCGAGCCACAAGGAAAGAAGCCAGGGTGAATCTCCCAGACGTGGGTCACTCGGCAGACATCCTGGTAGCCGACCTTGTGCACCCGCATGAACATCCGCGGACTCCCACGGATGTTTTTGATTGAGTGGTCTCAAAGCAGCCATGCGCACGTCCCTTTCCCGCCCCTTGCAAATATCTGCATTCTCACAGACAATGTTCCTTGCAGGACGCTCACCACCACCATCTCCACCACCTCCACCACCACCACCACCAATATCCCGCCACCCCTTAGGATCTCTCCAGAGCTGGGCACTTCCAGGCACTTGAATCTGCTTTCCCCAGAGGAGGCTGCTGGAGTGCGGGGTGGGGCGGGGAAGCGGGGGGAGGGGGTCAGGGACTTGCATTGGCGCACCTCTACTAGCAGAGGGTGCAAGGGCCTGCTAAAGCCTTTCCCTGGTTTGGAGAGGACTTGGGAGATTAGCGGGTGCCCTGGGAGCTCCTGCACCCCACAACTCTACTCCCGCCTCACCCCCCAGCCCCCCTCCCCCCCGCCCCGCGCGCGCACACCTGTGGCAAGAGCCATGACAGCCCTACAGGGAGCTATTTGAAATGCTTTGGGGGATCTCATGCGCCACACGAACCCCCAAGTCTCTGCCTGGCTGCTGATCCTGGAAGGGCTCTGGGATGTTTGCCTGCATTCCTAGCCACCCTGAGGGCATAATCCAGCCCGGTTCGCATCAGCACAGCTGGACGTGCGCCTCCTGAGGGGGAAGTGGAGCCATTCCGGAGATTAAATCTTAGGAGTTGAGACCCAGCGCCTCCAGGAGGCAGAACTGGGGCCCAGGAGTGCAGGCAGCTCTGGGAAGCGGGCTCAAAGGGCTGATGGGCTGATGGGCTCCAGGGGGCCGGGCACCAGAAAGGAGAGACTGAAATCAATGCGCACAACCACACCCCTTCAGCCTCCTTCTTCCTAACTTCCCCCACTCTCTCCCCCCTCCCACCCTCGCTTCCAAATGACCCTCCACGAGATTCCCAGCCATAAAAATCAGGATGATGTGCAGCCTGGTTGTTGGGGCACGGTGGATAGAGAGGCGTTCCTAGCACTGAAGGTCACCAGTTCCATTCTGGTCCAGGGCATCTACCTGGATTGCAGGCTCCACCCACGACCTTCCTTGGTCAGGCTGGGTGCGGTAGGTGAAGTATCTTTGTGTCTCTTTCACATTGAAGTTTCATTCTCTCTAAAGATTAATGGATAAGTACCCTTGTGTGAGGATGTACAAGGAAGGAAGGAAGGGGGGCTGGTGGATAATGAAATTTTAAAATAATGCCTCCATACTTACCATTTGAAAGTACCTACATGGGTTCAGGAGTATCCAACTTGGCCAAAATTGCGGAGTCCTTGTGCCGCCCACCACTGAAACCTGACCCAGCGGTCTAGAAAGTCTCCCCACCCCCACCCCCAAACCCACCCCCACGCCCACCCAGCGCTGAGCCCCAGGCTCCTGGACTGCTGCTGTTGCTGACATCACTGGCACACGGGCACAAACCTGTGCCCCTTCTTCCTCTTCTTCTTCTTCCTGTTCGCCTTGGCTCCCCCTCTGGGACCAGGGCCTTGGTCAGTGCCCTTGGCCTCCCCGGGGAGGTCCTCCCCAGCTGGACCGTTGAGCAGGCGTTCGGTCCTGCCCCCTCTGCCCCGGGACTGGTGAAGGACAACGGCTTCGGTGGGCAGGGCACACTGGAGCTCGCTGAGATTGAACTGTGGCTTGGGCCGGGACGGCTCCTGGAGCCGAGGCCGCTGCTCTGAGTCGTTGTGCTTGACGGGCTTCTCGGACCCAGGACCTGTGAAGTCGGGGGCATTTTGGGGGGTCCCGTTGGGTGGACGCCTCCCAGTGCTTGTGCTCAGTCGCGGGGCATCTGGGTTTTCCCCTTCTCCTTCCAGTTCACTGGTTTGCACGTAAAAGAGCACGTATGCGCATTGGCTCAGGGCTATAGAGGCGTCGCAGGCGGTCACCTGGTCGTCGTCCATCTTGAACCACCCCCCACCCGCGGTTTGGACATAGCAGAAGTAGTGGCCGCCGTGGCAGGTGCGGCCTGAGTGGACCAGCACTGCGTACAGCCTGTATAGCAGCGGGTGCGCGCGGCGTCCCCGAGATAGGTAGTGCCGCAGGTCCAGCTGCTCCGGGTAGTGCACATCCCGCTCCAACTTGCCATCTGCCAGAGCCGAGAACCGCTTCAGCACCAGCGTGAGCACCCTGGATGCCGCATCCAGGCGCAATGTCTTCTTGGCCGGCACCTTCCGCAGGCACTGGCCGCACTGGTAGCCGTCCAGCAGCTCAGGCCTCACTAGCAGGTCCAGGGCCTGAGTCACGCTCCGAGCCGTCTGGATGTCTAGGCCAACGTCCAGGTAAGGGTCCAGGGTGTCGGACACGCCCTGGCAGCGGAGACACTGGACCCGAGATCTCCAGTGGCCTCCAAAGATCCCGCGGATCAGGGTGGCATCCTCCTGGGAAGCCCGCTGTAGGGCTTCCAGTGTGAACAGGAGGAACTCGTGGGCGTCCTCCTGCTGGTACGCGCGGAAGCCCGCCAGCAGTGCCCCCTCGGGTACGATGATGTGCCCGGGCCGCAGGAGGGCCCGGGTCACGTGAGTCTGCAGGGCGCACAGGGTGCAGGACGCCCCCCGCCGCCCGCAGGCCCTGGAGTGCAGCCCTGACAGCAGGTAACGGGCCAGCGGCGGGGTGTAGCTGAGGCACTGCAGGGCCGCATTGGCATAGCAGGTGTTGCCCAGGTTCCAAAGCCCGGCCCCCACCGCGCGGGGTCTCCCCGCGCTCCAGCTCCCACTTGAAGGGGTCTCCCCGGGAGCCAGTGGGCCCCGCGGGGCGCACCCGCTTTCCCTGGGCGCTGCTGGTTTCTGAGTCCTGCGGGGTCCCCCATGGACCCCTGCAGCCCCTTCACCGAATCCAGAGGATTCGAGCTTCGGGGGTTGCCTGAGCTGAAACTCCTCTTCCAGGGGCGCAGAAGCAGCCTCCATGTCTGAGGACAGGGTGTTCGCGAGATCTCTCTCCCAAAGCAAGCTCCCTCACAGAGCTCAGAGAACAGGGTCTTCTCGAGATCTCTCTCCAGAAAGCAAGCTCCCTCCCAGAGCGCAGAGGACAAGGTCTTCGCGAGATTTCTCTCTCAAAAGAAAGCTCCCTCACAGAGCACAGAGCAGGAAGTGTCCTGGGCTGAGAAGCTCTGCAAATGAAGGCCCCTGCCTCCCCATCTGCCCACTTATAAGCCCAGAGCATGCTGGGAGGAGCCTCGAGCTCCACCAATCAGCGGCCCCCAGGCTTGATGAAATTAAGTTTAGGGGGAGGGCGCTTCTAGCCCAGCTGCACCCAGACACACCTTTCAGGTGGGATTATCTGAAGGATCTCAAGTAGCAATAATCTCTTTAAATGTAAATGGCTTACATGATCCCATTGAGATACAAATGGAGCCCTATCCGTGTGGCTCAGTAAATTAGAGTTCTTGTGAGGCATGGGGAAGCCCAGGGCTCCATTCTGACTCAAGGGAGTCTGGTCAGTGGCACACAATTGCTTGCACTTTCTATCCATGACTCTGGTCAGGGTGCTTGTGGGAGGCAACCAATCCATGTTTCTCTCATCTCTCTCTCTCTCTCTCTTTCTCTCTCTCTCTCTCTCTCTCTCATCAAAAAGTAACAACATTTCTTTAAAACGTTCTTAAAAAATAAAGAAGCCTACATTTGCTCTACCACTTGTGTTCTACTCATGGTCTTTGGATAAGGGCACTGTACAGAGATATCACCAAGTCTGTCTCATAAAGCAGCCCACACTCCAAGGGAAAAAAATGGCCCGTTTTCCCATCCCCTCCCCCAATGCCAAGCCTGGACCCTCTTCTCAGTTTGTGCATAAAATCAGCAGCATGTGACACCTACTATTTCATTTGTAACACCCTTTTTATACTTTAGAAGCTTCTAGTCACAATTTATAAAACAAGGAATTGGTTGGGTTGTCCCTTGGGGAGATCAGGGCCATCCACTGTCCCGGTGACCAACGGGCACCCAGGAAAGCAGAAATCACAGCCAGTTAGGGAAGACCCCACCCTCAGACAGGAAGAGGAAGTTCAGATGGTGATCTGAGTCTAGGAAAGACATGTCACAGTTTCCTATTCTTTAGCATAGGGGTTTTGCTTCCAGGTGGTGTGTGTGTGTGTGTGTGTGTGTGTGTGTGTGTGTGTGTGTCTTCCTTTCATCCTGATTTTCAACATTCAATTTATGGAGAGGCTGATAATATGTCATAAGTCAAGGGTCCAGGTAACCACACACAGAAAGTATCCAGCAGGTACACGAGAAATAAAAGAAAGGAATTCAAACATAGCACTGCAGAAAGTCAACAAGTTGGACAAGAGAGCAGTGACATAAAAAAAGAGGAACAGAGGACTCTAAGACAACCAGAAACCCAAACAATGACAGGAACACCTAAGTAGCAATAACTTTTTAAATGTAAATGGCTGATATGCTTCCATTGAGATAAAATGGAACCCTATCAGTATGGCTTCGTGGATTAGAGAATCCTGTGAGAATGGGAAAGCTGAGAGCTCTCTTTTGGGTCAAGAGAACAAACCTGGTTGCAAGTTCTACCTCTGGCTGTCTCTGGTTTGGGTCCATGTGGGATGAAAACAATCAATGTTTCTCTCACATCTCTCTCTCTCTCTCTCTCTCTCTCTCTCTAGCTCTCTCTCTCTCTCCTATCTCTCTCTTCATTTCTCTCTCCTTTATCTCTTTCTCTCCTCTCTTTTTCAGTCTCCTCTCACTCTCTTTTTCTCTGTTTCTCTCTTTCTCTCATTCTCTCCCTTTTTTTCTCTCTCTCTCTATCTCCACTCTTTCTCTCTTCATTTCTCTCTCCTTTTTCTCTATTTCTCCTCTCTCTTCCTCCTAATCTCTCTCTGCTTCTCTATCTCTCCCTCTCTCCCCCCCGCTCTCTCTCTCTCTGTTTTTCTCTCTCCTTCTCTCTCTTCTTCTCTCTCCCTTTCCTCTCTCTCTCTTTGTTTCTCTCTCTTTCTGTCTCTCTCTCTCTCTCTCTCTCTCTCTCTCTCTCTCTCTCTCTCTCCTTCTCCCCCCTCTCTCTAATCAAAAAGTAACAAAATTTATTTAAATCATTCTTAAAAAATAAATAAGCTGACGTTTGCTACACCAATGGTGTCCTCATCATGGTCTTCAGTTGAGGGGGCTATACAGATATCATCTAGTCTGTCTCATAGAGAAGCCCACACTCTAAAGGAAAAAGGCCCATTTTCCCATTCCCTCCCCCAAAACCAATCCTGGCCACTCTTCTCAGCTTTACCCACCCAATAAGCAGAATGTGACACCTACTATTTTGCTTGTAACACCCTGTTTTTCCTTGAGAGGTCATGGAAAAGGGAACCTCTGCACACCATTTATAAAACAGGGAATCAGTTGGGTTGTCCCTTGGGGACATTAAGGCCATCCACTATCGTGGTGACCAAGGTGCTCCCAGGAAAGCAGAAATCACGGCCAGTTAGGGGAGACCCCACCCTGGGACAGGGCGAGGCAGTTCAGAAGGTGAACTGAGTCTAGCAATGACATCTCATAGTTTCCTTTCCGTTAGCATTTCATCACTCATGTCACTGTCTCTCCTGTGGATTCTAATAAAAGTCGCCAGGGGCAGTCCTCTTAAGGGCAGGACCGAAGCTGTCTGTCCATTGAGGTCTCCCAGCTCCCGGGACGTCCAGCGGGTGCAGTAGTTGCTCCATCAAATGACTAATCAATGATTGTACCTCCCCGCGCACCCTGCCCCCAGGCCCTACACTTCAAGCGCGCCCCCCCACACACACATACACACACAAACACACACACGCAAACACACAGCTACAAAAGAGGCAGGCCTTAGGGAAGAGCCCCATAGGTTGTGACGTGTGGGTGGCGAGTGCCTACCACGAATTTAAGGAGGTGATCACAGGGCTGCTTGCCAGAGCTTCAAACGCAGAGGGCCCAGAAGCATCCAGGATGCAAGAACCCGGGTCTCCCAGCAGTGAGTCTGGGCCCACAGTGAGGGCCTGGGAACCATAGATGGGATCCTTTGGTGGGGGATGGAGTCCCCTGGGCATCCAGGCCAGGGGCAGCTTCTCTGTCAGGCTTAGTGCATTTTGGGGGCTGGGACGACACTGGCGGGGTGAGGGCTGCGGGAGGGGAAGCCTGGGTGAGTCTGAGGGCCCCGCCTTGCCTGGCTGTGGGCCCCGCAAAGAAGAACACAAGCTCTGGCCCAGGCTCTTTTGGAAAATGCAGACTCGCAGCCCTAGAGAGGGGGGTGGCCCAGGCGGGCAGGTAAGGGGTCAGGGCCCCTGGCCACATGCCATGCGCCCATGCACAAGCACTCCCCTCCCCCCGACCCAATACCCTCACCCTCAAGACCAAAGCCCCGACCTGCTCACAGGTGTGTTGCCCAGGCCCGTTGGGCTGGGGATAGTCCTTGGAACTCCTCTGACTCCCTTTCCCCTTTCTTCCAGGCTCCGGGCTGTCCCCGAGCGCCCCGAGGAACAGGAGGCGGCGGCAGTGCACAGTGTTCAGCACAGAACAGCTGTGGGTCCTGAAGACATTCTTTAAGGGGAAACCCTATGGGACCTTTGATGAACGCAAGGCCCTGGCGGCCATGCTGGATCTGCAGGAGTATCAAGTTCAGGTACAGCTGAGACCCAATCACCAACCCCAACCCCGACCCCGGAATAACCCCATCCGCTCCCACTTCCTGCTGCCCACCCACTATCCCAAACATGCCCTAGGGGGGTGAGGGTTGGGGTCAATAGGTTGGTGGGGGGAAGGGAGAGGGCGGAGATAGAAGGGCGTGGGAAGCGGGAGACCAGGCCAGAAGGACCTAGCACTGCCCAGGGTCACCCGTGTGGTCCGGGGCCTGGCCCCCGAGTCCACCTCAGCCCTGTGTGGGACAAAATGGCCAACACGTTACAGCCCCTCGCTTCTCCCCACGCTCGCGCCCAGACCGCAGGGCCTCTGAGAATACAGGGACCCTCTCAAGCAGACCCGTTCCCGGTTTCTGGGTGTCCAAGCCCTGCCCCTCCTGCTCTTTGCCCCTCTCCTGGAACCCAGGCCAAACCGGGGCCAATTGTGGGATCTGGGGGCGGAGGGAGCGGTTTTAGGCCTACGCTTCTTCCCTGCGCCTCCTCACCCCATGGCAGGCGATCACAAGTGTGTGCACACAGAGCTTCTCCCCCCTCACACTTGCTCCGTTCTGTTCCCTCTCTCCCTAAGTGTGGCTCAAGAACCGCAGGGCCAAAGAGCGCAGGCTGCAGAGACCACCGCGCGGGCAGAAAAGCCCTGCAGCCCATGCTTTGCCCCAGGAACCCGGAACCTGCACCTTAGCCCGCGCCTGCGCCTGCGGACCCTGCCTTCCAGGCGGGCCTTGTGCTCCCTGCCAGTGCCGTGCTCCCTCCACACAGCCCCTGGCAAGTCTTCCCAGCAGCAGATGCCAGCGCCTCCAGCTACAGCTAGGCCTGCTGGCACCCCGCCCCGGGCGTCTCGGACATTGTCCCCTCTGCACCTGCACCTGCTGCGGCTCCCACTCCCGCTCCAGATCCAGCTCCAGCTGAGGCCACAGTCTGGCCGCAAGTCCCCAATGATAAAGACAATGACGAAGACGACGTCGAAGCCGCCCACAATGCCTCCCCAGACCCTGATTTCACAGAGCTGCTCTCAGCTCTAGAGGGATTGGAGGAGTCCTTCTCCTCCTCCAGGACCTGGTATGTATGTTTGTGGGCAACAGAGACGTGGACCTGTTCCAGTTATCGGGTGTCCAAGGGCTTCCATCCCCGCCAAGTTCTGCAGATACCGCGGCACCCTACGGGACCAGGGTGAGCGCCCACGCGGGGCCGGGAGGGCGACAGACGTGCTGGGCAGCGCTTCTTGGCCGCAGTTGCTCTAAGCATCCACCTTGCCCCCACTGCGCATGCGTGTAGTGTCCTGGACAGGGGGGCAGGAGTCCTGAGGGCTGTACCTCC